GATGGTTGTTCCCATCTCTCGGCGCTGTCTCACTCCGCCATCGGATCAGCAGCGACGGCCTCACTGTGAGGATCGCTGGCGTGCCCTGCCCCCTGGCGCGCAGACGTGGAGGACCGATGGTGTTTTGCAGTATCCGACGTGGTTCACTCGTTGCACACTGCCGGCCGGGTGGAGCGCTGCCCTCTGGCGCCCTTTGGCGATGGCGCCCGCTACTCCCCAGCGCTGCTCGGTGCCCGCCGCCTCCCGCCGCGTGCTCCCTCCCCAGGCGTAGCGGCGGCCTCTTTTTTTGTTCCAGGACGGCGTCCCCGGAAGTCCAGACACCTACCCCGGGGGCCGGCTCTTCCTCCTGAGTCTTTTTTTTTGGACGGTTGGGGGCCGGCGAGGGCCCCCCGGGGCCGAAGGTAGCAAAAAGCTTGCCGCCCCGATGTTCCCAGGACACGAGCATGTCTGGGTCTGGCAACGCCGGTGCTGCGCCCGCCCGCCCGCCGCCGCGGGCGCCCTGGGCGCTGCCCGAGGCCCGCCCGCTTGGGAGCCCTTTGGGCGCCGCCGCCCGCCGTGCCCCGCCGCTGCCCGAGGCCTGCCGGCCCCCGCCGCTGCCCCGCGAGGGGCCTCGCGGCGCTGCTCCCGCCGTGCCCCCCGCCTGCGCTCCAGGGTGGAGCCCCGGGGTAGCCGCGCGTGTCGCCTGGCCTGCGATGTGTTGGAGCGCTCGAGAGACCTCCGCCCCGGCGACGTGCGCCAGAGGGAGCGTGTGCATGTGTGTGATGAGTCGTGTGTGTGTGTGTTCGTGTGTTGTGCTTGTGTTTGTGTGTAATTAGTCGTGTGTGTGTGTGTGTTCGTGTCTTGTGCTTGTGTTTGTGTGTGCGATCGTGCTTGTGCTTGCCTGTTTGCGTTCGTGTGTGTGTGTGTGCTGGTGTGTATGTTCGCGTTTGTGTTTGTGTGTGTGTGTGCGCGTTCGTGTGTGTTTGTGTGTTGTGTCTGTGTGTGTGTGTGTTTGTGTGTTAGTTTGTCTGTATGTGTGGGTTGTGTGTGTGTGTTTGTGTGTGCTGTGCTGTGGTTGTGTTGTTCCGCTTTGTGCTGCGTTTGATTGTTTATTCCTTGTGCTTGTAGTTCTGCGTGCGTGTGCTAATGTGTGGTGTTGTCGCAGGTTTGACATCGCAGTCCTCGGGAAAGGAGGGGGGGCGCAGGGAGGGGGGCAGGGAGCCTCCGAGAGGGCCCACCAACGTTACACGAAGCAGTGCGTTCTCAACATGTTTCATCTCAGGCGGGTACCTTACACTAGAGATGTGACCCTTCCTCATTTGTCCCTCCTCCTCCCCCTCCTCCTCATCCTCATCATGTTCGTTATCATCATCATATCCCCCTCCTCCTCCTCCGGTCTTGTCCGCTCTGGTCTCCTCTTGGAGGGCCGTGGGGAAGCAGAACCCGTTTCAGCAAATATGTTGTTCCATGCGTTCCGTGCCTCAGGGGGTCTGACGCTGCTTTCCTCTGGGGTCTGACGCTGCTTGCCTCAGAAGGTCCTGGACGGCCCCGACCTGCGCACGAGGACCCAAGGAATCGCTCAAGATGGCTCTGGAGGGCCCGGAGATTGCCGACGAGAACTCCAGGAGTTCCCCCCGCGTTAAGCGGACCCCTCATACGGCCCAAGAGAGCCCCCAGAAGGCCAAAAGACGGCTCAAGAGGGTCCCCCAAAAGCCCGACCGGGCCGCCGAGATGGTTCAAAGCCATAGCGGGCCGAGCGGGCCGTCCCTTCATTATCCACTCACGTTCTTTCGTAAGGCCCTGCGGGTTCGAGGATCGAGGCAGCTTCGGACCCATATGGTCCTTCAGTGGCTTCAGGGCGCAAGGGTGTTTGAGAAGTGCCTCACTTGCTGATCTGCTGGGATCACACCGAGAGTCTCGCGGAGGACTTGCGATGGCCCGAGAGGGCCCCAAGACGGGCCAAAATGACCCCAAGAGCGTCCGGAAACCTAATGGCCCAACACAGGCTGAAGGTGCATCCAGGGGAGCTGCGGACTCCAAGATACCCTCCAGATGTTCCCAAGATCCCACGACCGCCGAAGGTTCCGCTAAGAGAACCCCCCACGTGGCCCAACCCGAAGGAGGCGGAGGACGACGAAGACCATAACGACGGTGATGCTGACGAGGACGAGAAGGAGTGAGGAAGGGAACGCGCTCATTATCGTGAAGGAAAATCTCCTTTGTGATGATCGTGTCTTGACCCTGCGTGCCAGAGGCGAGGGCGTCGATGCCGCGGAGGAACGCAGCAGGATGACAACCGCAAGGGCACACGCAGTCGTCTAATGTAGGTTCATCGTGTGCACATCGGCGGTTCGATGGGAAGGGGCGGCGGGGTCGCAGGACGGTGCAGGCGCATCATGCTCGAAAAAGCTAAATGGCAAACCAACTGTTTCGGAGGTCCGCACGGATTTCTTGGATGTGCGCTGAGCCACACCGGCGGCGCCTCCGCCGCCGCCCTTGGCGCGCTCCGCCCGCAATGGAGGGGGGCCCCAGCGCCGATCCAATAGATCCACGCCGAGCTTCAACAATTATGTTTAATGCAGTTTGTTTTATTTTCCAGGGGGTGGAGGACGGTATTGGAACGTGTGTCATTCCTCGCTCTGTGTCGGCATGCGTCGTGAGGCGCGCGCCTGCGTGTCAGCTCATGGCTGCCCACGCGTCATCACGTGTGTTTCGTTGAGCCATGCATGTGTTGAATATTTGGTTTCGATCATTCGGCACCCCTGTGATAACGAGACTATATCGTCGATGCACTTTGCTTTGCCGGGCCTCAGGATCGTCATGGTCCTCCTTCGTAGGACCAGTAATCTCACCGCCCCTGCTGAATAGCCCCCGCAGTGCTGCTTCAAATGTGTGTAGGCGTCCGTCCCGCGCACCAGCCACAATGTAACGGAAGACGCCCACGCCGAACCACCGCCGCCCCCATGCAGCCAAACGTTGGGCCGAAGTCTTGCAGAGCTGTTGGGGTTTGTGTTTCATCAACCGCTGCGGAAACCCTCGGGGAGACAACGGAGGCCTCTTGGGTATCTACAGTGCCGTTTTTTATACATGCTCCGCGTGCGGATCACGCATTAAACATGCAGGGATTTAGCATTAAAGACAACGATGAGTTCATGCATAAATGTATTCATATCTTAACCATGAAAATTTAAAAATCCTATGTATCAAAACCTGCCCTGTATCTAGAGGCCTCCTGGGAGCCTCTGGGCGCCTCCACAGGGGGCCTCCAAGGGACCTCCTAGAAGCTTGGCGTTCGAAGGGGCTCCCTTGGGATGCTTGATAGGGCCGTCTCGGAGGTGGGTCGTGTCGTCTTGGGGCCCTTTTTTGGAGCAGTTTGGGGGCCCTATCGGCCGTCTTGCGGCCCTCTCAGTCCGTTTGTGGGCAGTCTTTGGGGCTTCTAGGGGCAGTGGGGCCACATTGAAGGCCTCCGGTCGGAAGCCCGAAGAGGCAAGCACGCGAAACCTATTCTAAGCGTTTCATCTGGCAAAAGAATAAGGTTTGGCATCCTGGAGGTTCTTTTGGAGCTCTCTTGGGGCACCTTGCCTCGTAGGTCGCGCTTCATTGTGGCCATAGTGGATTCTCGTTTGGGCCATATTGGTCGTCGAAGCATTTTGGAGGCCGTGTTGACCCATCTTGGAGCCACCGTGGACAGGAAAAGCTTGTCCTTCCTCTGGTTTCGCGGCCTTCCGTGTTGCTGGCTGGATGGATGTGCCAGTGCGCCGATACAGTAGGTTCGTGTCGTGTCGACCGGCGGCGGCCTCGCCAGCGGCGTTCAACCTTGAACGCAGCAGGCGACCCAGAATCGTTCGATGTGGAAAGATTTGGACGCTTCGGAATCGGACGATCGTTCAAGATTGAACGATCCCAGCAGTGCCAGGAACCAACGCCGAAGGCGGCACGACACGAACCTGACGTACCCAATCGAGAATCTGGAAGGACTCACAGGAGTATAGCATCCAGCACGTCAAGTACCCTTGTCACAGGCACAGGGGGGCGGCGGATCTAGTGGTCTTCGGCCCATCCTGCCACCGCGCATGGGCTGTAGAAGCCTCGGAGGCATCCCTGGGGCGTTTTGGAGGCCTCGCGAAGCCTCTTGGGCCTCTTTGGGGCCTCCTTGGGCCCACCGCATGCCTCCTGGGGGCTTGCCGGCGGGCTCGGGCCCATCGGGTCCTTCTTGGGGCGCCTCGGTGGTTCTCAAGCCGTCTGGGGGCCCAGGGCGTCTGCGGGTCCTCTGGAGCCGTCTGCAAGCCATGCACTGTGCGTCGCGTGGGGCTCTTTTTTGGGCCGTTCCGGGGCGCTCTCGGACCGCACGGGGGGCCTCCCGGGGCCGTCTTGGGCCGCCCGGGGAGCCCACGGACCTCGGGGCCGAAAGGGGGCTGCCAGGGGACACGCTCCATGGGTCTCGAGCAGTGCTGGGCGCCTCTAGCCTTCCGCACCTGGGGCAGGGCTCGCATGACGTGAGGGCGCTGGAGCTCGTGCTTCGAGGCACGGTTGCGGATTGGTGCCCCGTCTCCGCGGTTCCCTTGCCGTGTTCCTACAGTTCGGATTTTGTCTTGGGGTGGGTGGGTTTTATGTAGTACCGTTGCGGGGAGGTGGCCGTTGTGGAAGAGATAGTTGTGTGTTGCGGTTGTTTCAGCTGGGTCCAAGTCCGCCTTTTAGCTCAGCTTCTGCTTCCCTCATCATCCGTCCTCCACCTCTCTCCCTCAGTATTCCTGTCGTGTCTGTCCCCCCTTTCTTCTTCACGGCTCTTCCCTCCCCAGCTCATCATCATCTGTCTTTCGTGTGCTTCCCCTGTTCCTGCTCTGTCCTTCCTCCGCCCGCCTCTCTCACCGTCGCATGCCCTCTCGCATGCTGGAGCGCGTGCGCACGCTCGCCGCCCTGCCGCTTCAGTGTTCGATCTCGGCGCGACGTGAGCAGCTATACGATTCCTTGTGCACGGGCGTGCTCGTGCTGAGGAGATCGCCCGCTTGCCGCGCGGCCCCACTTCTCGTGGACTCAGCGGGCGGGACAGGCGGCGCGCCCGGTGGAAATGGAGCTTTCCGGGGATAGGCGCGCCGCGATCAGGCGGGATCGAAATTCCAGACGCTTCGCGTACCCCCCCCTCTTTATTCCACCTCGACCGGCGGTTCTTTGGCTACGGCCAACCTGGTGCCCACGCAGTTGCCCGGGATTCGGATGAATGCCTTAATTCTACGGGGCTGACCCTGGTCGTCGTTAATCCCGACTTCCTGGTGCTTCCGCCGCCCTGCATACTTGCACGCTGGCAGTTCGACTCAGTTTCAGTCACCCCTGCCACCCGCCCGCCGCTGGGCCGCCGCGTGAGGTCTCGGCTTGCTGCGTTAGACGTGGCCTGTTCGCGCTGACTTCGCTTAATTCGTCTCTGCGTAGCCCGCTTTGACCTGACTCGCCGCCGGCGCGCTCGCCCGCGGCCGCTGACTAAAAAAGTACCCCCCCCTCGTTTCTGGTTCTTCTTCTGGGTGGCTGCCCGGTCGCTCGCTTCGCTTGCCTCTCTTTTCTTGCTGCCTAGTCGCGGCCCGGCTAGTGTTCGGATGGTTTGCGACCTGCTTCGCGAGCCCGCAGACCAAAAAATACCCCCCCCACACCAGCCAATCCAGAAACGATGACCAGCCGGGCTGCCCTGATCAGGGATGTGGGGGAGCATATTGTATGCAAGACGTCATACAGCAAAAGGGGGAGGATGGGAAAGGAATCGGAGGAGGAGGAGGAGGAGGAGGAGGAGGAATAGGCGGACGAGGACGAGTAGGAGGAGGGGGAGCAGAAAGGCCAGAGGTCTCTTGGATGCCTCTCGAAGTCTCTTCGGACGTTGTTCGAGAGTTTCTTGGAGTACTCTTGGGGCGTCTTGGGGGTCGACAGGCTGTCCCAGGGGCCTCTTGGGGCGTGTGCCTCTGGGGGGCCTCTTGGGACCTCTTGGGAGTCTCTGGCCATCTTAGGGCCATCTTAGAGAAGATCCGTCAAAGGATGGGAGCTCCTCACATTGGCCCCCTCCCCCCAGCCAAGCATGCCAAAACCTTGATACAATCAATGGTTTAATGGTTTTGACCTTCTCGCCGAGGCCGTTGTGGACGCTCTGACACCTCGCGACCCCAGGGGCAGGGTAAACCCCTCCCCGAAGGGGAAGAAGGGGGATTGGAAAAGGAAACGCTGCAAACCACTCACGTTCAGAGGGCTGGTATGATTAGCACCCTTTCCCTCCCGCCAGGAGGCCAACATGTAGCCACAGCCTCAATCAAATCAATGATATGGGCTTTCTCTCGGAGCCCTCTTGGGGCGCCTTGGGTGCCACTAGGGGGCCTTGTGGGGGCCGTTTGGGGTTTCCTGGGCACCTTTTGGGGCCGTCTTTGGGCACCCTGGGGAGCCTTGGTGGCCATCTTGTGGCCATCTTGGAGGAGATCGGTCAAAGGAGGTGAGCTCCTTGATGAGACCCCCCCCAGGAGGTCAACATGTGGCCCAACACTTTTTGTAAACTACAGGACTTTCGAGGACTTTGGCCTTCTCGTCGAGACCACCTTGGACGCTCCAACGATTCACGAAGCCTCCCGTCCAGGTCCATGGGGAGGGGGGAGGGGGAGGGGTCAAGACACCCTCCCCGCCCGCAAGCTGCTTCGCTCACTCCCACTCGTCCTCCCAACACATACGCTGCGGCGATGTGCGCCACGCGTGCCAGGCGCGCTACGTGCGTCAGGTGCGCCAGGCACCCCTGTGGCCCAAGCATGCCTGGTGCGCCAAATGCGTCACGTGATCAACGTGCGCCATGCCTCATTCTCCAGCCGCGCCAAGTGCGCCACGTCCGGGGCACGCGCAGAGTGTGCCAGGTTCGCTTGCGCACGTAGCAGTGCAAATCAGGAAATGTGTCGGCCGCCACCCCCCTTGTCGAAAACGAGTGCGCAGTCGCGGCGGGGTGACCCTCGTAGTGTCTGGTGGGCCTGCGCAGGCAATCTGCCAGCACCCCCGCCGTCCCAGTCAAAAGCCAATGCAGAGTGATCGCTGGGTGCCCGCGCGTCGTACAGATTTTGTTTCGACGTGCATGTTGTCGTGTTTTTGACAAGGATTCTGGTCCTGCGCGTTTGCAGAAAATCTCCACCGCGCACGTCAAACGACAATACCAAGTGATTGCGCCCCGCCGATTATGATCAAAGATTTTGCCCCAAAGTGGATTTCACATAGTTTTTCAACAGGTATGGTGGGAAGGGGGGGGGTCCTCATTGGTCCTGGTTGGCTGCCGGTCGCCTGGAGGAGGGAGGGTTTATTAATAGGGACCAGTGACAAACACGAGTATTAGCTTGGCGAAGGACCCAACCATGCGCAGTTGTGAACACCGCAGATGTATGTACCGTCTTCGGTGAAGCCCCCTTGCAGGGCCACGAAGCGCTGTATTGGGGGGAGCCGTATGCGGACTGCGCCACCGGGATTTTAGGTGGAGTTCCCTGTGGGGCCACGAAACGTTGTACTGCGAAGGGGGATGCATGAGGGCTGCGCCACTAGGACATATGGTGGAGCTCCTTATGGGGCCACGAAGCGCTGTACTCGGTGGGGGAGGCGCATGCGGGCTGCGCAAATGAGACCTTCGGTGGAGCTCTCTATGGGGCCACGAAGCGTTGAACTGCGTGGGGGAGGCGCATGCGGGCTGCGCCACTGGGACAGTCGGTGGAGTTCCGTATGCGGCCACGGAACATCGTACCCAGTGGGGGGGCACGCATGCGGGCTGCGCAATTGAGGCCTGCGGTGGAGGAGACGCAGCGGACTGCGCTACTCGGACCTTCGGTGGAGCTCCCTCTGTGGACGCGGAGCGCTGTATTGAGTGTGGGCGACGCATGCGGGCTGCGCCACTGGAGCCTTCGGTGGAGCTCCCTATAGGACAACGAGGCGCTGTACTGGGTGCGGCGGACGCATGCGGGCTGCGCCACTGGGGCCATCGGTGGAGCTCCTTATGGGGCCACGAAGCGCTGTACTGGGTGCGGCGGACGCATGCGGGCACCCCCGCTGTGGCCTTCGGTGGAGCTTCGTGTGGGGCCACGGAACGCCGTATTGGCTGTGGCGGACGCGTGCGGGCACCCCCACTGACGCCTTCGGTGGAGCTCCGTGTGGGGCCACGAAGCGCTGTACTGGGTGTGGCGGACGCATGCGGGCACCCCCACTGGGGCCTGATGTGAAGCTCTGACTGGGGCCACGAAGCGATGTACTGGGTGTGGTGGACGCATGCGGGTACCCCCGCTGGGGCCTTCGGTGGAGCCCCCTATGGGGCCACGAAGCGTTGTACTGGGTTCGGCGGACGCATGCGGCCTTCGGTGGAGCTCCCTGTGGGGCCACGAAAGGCTGTACTGGGTGTGGCAGACGCGTTCGGGCACCCCCACTGGGGCCTTCGGTGGAGCTCCCTGTGGGGCCACGAAGCGCTGTACTGGGTGCGGCGGACGCATGCGGCCTTCGGTGGAGCTCCCTGTGGGGCAACGAAGCGCTGTATTAGGTGTGGACGACGCACACTGGGGCCTTCGGTGAAGCTCTCTATGGGGCCACGGAGCGCTGTACTGGGTGTGGTGGACGCATGCCGGCACCCCCACTGGGGTCTGCGGTGGTGCTCCCTGTCGGGTTACGAATCGCTGTACTGGGTGTGGCGGACACATGCGGGCACCCCCACTCCGTGTGGGGCCCGGGAACGCTGTACTGGGTGTGGTGGACGCATGTGGGCACCCCCGCTGGGGCCTTCAGTGAAGCTTTGACTGGGGCCACGAAACGATGTATTGAGTGTGGTGGACGCATGCGGGTACCCCCACTGGGGCCTACGGTGGAGCTCCCTGTTGGGCCACGGAACGCTGTCTTGGGTGTGGCGGGCGCATGCGGGCACCCGCACTGGGGCCCATGGGGCCACGGAACGCTGTACTCGGTGTGGCCGACGCATGCGGGCACACCCACTGGGGCCTTCGGAGGAGCTTCCTGTGGGGCCACGGAACGTTGTACTGGGTGTGGCCGACGCATGCGGGCACCCCCACTGGGGCCTTCGGTGGAGCTCCCTGCTGGGCCACAGAACGCTGTATTGGGTGTGGCGGACGCGTGCGGGCTACCCCACTGGGGCCTTCGGTGGAGCTCCCTGTGGGGCCACGAAGAGTTGTACTTCGTGTGGCCGACGCGTGCGGGCTCCCCCACTGGGGCCTTCGGTGGAGCTCTCTCTCTATGGGGCCACGAAACATGTGAGGGGTGTGCTGACACGGGTGATGACGATGATGTTGATGATGTTGTTGACGACGATGATGATGATGATGATGATGATGATGATGATGATGATGATGATGATGATGATGATGATGATGATGATAATGTTGATGATGATGATGATGATGATGCTGATGATGATAATGATGGTGATGATGAAGATGATGATGATGATGCTGATGATTATGATGATGATGATGACGATGATAACGATGATAACGATGATGATGATGATGATGATGATGATGATGATGATGATGATGATGATGATGATGATGATGAAGATGATGATGATGATGATGATGATGGTGATGATGATGCTGATGATGATGATGATGCTGCTGCTGATGATGATGACTATGATGATGATGATGCTGGTGATGATGATGATGATGATGATGAGGATGAGGATGAGGATGAGGCTGAGGCTGAGGATGAGGATGAGGATGAGGATGAGGATGATGATGATGATGATGACGACGACGACGACGATGATGATGATGATGATGATTATGATGGTGGTGCAGATGATGATGATGATGATGATGATGATGATGATGATGATGAGGATGAGGATGAGGCTGAGGCTGAGGATGAGGATGAGGAGGAGGATGATGATGAGGATGATGATGACGACGACGACGATGATGATGATGATTATGATGGTGGTGCTGATGATGATGATGATGATGATGATGATGATGATGATGATGATGGTGATGGTGATGATGATGGGAGGAGGGAGGGGGCAGCGGAAGGAGTGAACTCGGGGACCGTCTCTTCAAAACGAGGACCCGACAGCACCGCATGGTTGGGAAAACCTTCTCCAAGGGGATGAAGGAGGTTGGAAGAAGAAACCCTCCAAACCATTCACGCCCAGAGACCTGGTGGGATTCTGGCTCTCTCACGCAAAGCCCCGCCTATATTGAGACATCCCCTCGCATCGCCGCCAGGTTAAGCAGAGACAATCCTCAGGCGAGGTGCTGTGAGACAGGGGACGCAGGAGCAGTAGTTTAAGTTGGATGGTAGAATTCAAGGCAGCCCGTACCAAGTATCTGCCAAAGCCGCCTTTTGGGGAGGCGGTTGTCTTGAAGATCGTGTGTGGATTCATTCGGGTCCTGATTTGTTTTGTCGCAGCAGCCACGACATAGGCATCGTGCTATGGAGCAACGTGCATGGGGGATCCATTCAGGCCCTCTTAGGGTCATGCCGAAGGCCATCGGTGCAAACGTTGTCCTCGTGTTTATTCACCTCTGGAGCCTGAACGATGGCCTCTTGGGGCTGTCTTTGGGTGCTCCTTGGAGCGCTTGGTTCCCTCTTCGGCCTGGTGGGCCAGTCCGCACCCCTCGTCGAGCTGGATAGGTTTCTTTAACAATGCTCGGAAAACAACGGCTGCACACCACCCGGAGGGTCATTTGGTTTTGTTTGGCCGCGTGGGGTTTTGGGTGTCTTGCATTGTGGCCCTCAACCGGAACATGTTTTCGTTTAGGCACATGTGATCCCGAGTTGCCTTGCGAACGCTATCAACCTTTTCTATTGCACTGTTAGCATGCGCTGGTCTGTGCGCGCAAGGCTCGGCCAGCGCATAGTTGTATTGAGACAAATGTGAAGGTGTTGCCAGAAAGGTGGCGGCGCCCCTTGTGATAGCGAAGCTGTTTTTCAAGTTTTCGACATGGCCCAGAGGCCGAGCTGCCCCCAGCTGCCACAGCTGGCGCCCCTGCTGGCCCCAGCTGGCAGCCCCAGCTGGCGCCTGCGCGCAGCAGCCTGGTCTCACCCGCCCCGTGCGGTCCGCCGCCCATGCCCCGCGGGCTCGTGCATCCACCGGTCCGTCCGGTCGGGCAGTGCGCCTCCTCCTCCTCCTCTTCCCCGCTGTCGGGTCGGTCTGGCTGGGCATCTGGCGCGGGGTCTATCGCCCCCCCTCCTCCGTGTCGGTCCATCCCGGAGTTCGATCCCGCATGGCTTCTCTCCTACTCCTGCTCCCTCTGGTCCTGCTCCTCCCCCTGTCCTGCTTTTCCTTCCCCATCCTCCCCCTCATCGCCCCGCGTCCACTGCCTCCTTCTTCCCTCCTCCTCGTCCTCATCTGGAGTGACTCGTCCCACCAGGTACGCGTCACCCCAGTGCACCGCGCAGTTTCGCATAGGCAGAGAAGGCCCTGCTGCCAGCACTGCCCGCTGCCCCGCCCTGCCCTGGCTGGGACGCACTGCATCGTGCGGTGGGGCGCACGGCTTGCAGAGATCGCGCCGGCCAGACGGCGCAGGAGAGGAGCAGAGAGGTGCAGGAGGTCTCGGAGGAGGAGGGGGAGCAGGATCAAAGCTTTACCCCCCTTGCACGGCCAGGTCGCATCCCACAGGTCGCATCCGTAAATAGCCTGGTGAATGGCATCGGAGCCTCGGGGGCCTCGGGGGACCTCTGGTGCCTCTGGATCTGGGTGGGCCTCAAGGGGCAATCCAGACGCCTGCGGGGACCCCTGGGGACCTACAGAGAGCTCTGGAGAGGCCCAGGGGGAGAGGGCCAGAGGTAAGCCCCTATGACGCCCCAACAGGCCTCCAAGAGGCCCCCCAAGAGAGGCCAAGAAACAACAATCATTAAGTTTTCAATGGTTTTCGAAGTTTTTTGGGACTTTCCCTTTTTCGGATCCCCGACACTCAAAGACGGCCCCAGAGGTCCCTAAGACCGCCCCAGGACGGCCGCCAGTTCTATTGTACAGCTGGCACATCAAGGAAGCCATTGGCCCGCCAGCAGATGCCTCACGGAAGCGTCTCTTTCCCCGATGAACCCAGGGACCCACAGAAGCCCTTGGGCAGTTTAGGACCCTCAAAACGCCGATAGAGAACTTGGCTCGAGACGTCTTACAGCACGACTGTCCATGGTATGTGTCCACTCTTGAGTGGTGCAATCATGCAGCCGCCCAGGCTGTGAATGTTGTAGCCGGGTGTGCGTCCGCATCGGCCCATGATGTCTCCGTGCCGAAGCGCTTGCCACAGGGCGTTTTTGGCGACGCCGGGCCATCTGCCAATTCGGCGAGCAGATCTCCAGGGTGTCGAAGAGAAGACCTTGACTGGACGGCAGCAAGGCCCTGGGCTGCGCACAGAGACAGCCCCTGGAGACGGTCCTGCCCCCGTTGATGCCATACTGGGCCACCCGTGGGGCGTGCCGAGGCCCGCCGGGGCTGCGCCTCTGTGGGCTGCACGTGCGCATCCAGCAGGCGAGAGGGCGGTCCTTCACGGCGGCGCGGCGGCGCCCGAGCCGGCGGGGCCCGCGCAGGCTGTGGGCGGGCTTGGCTATGCTGGGCGGGACGGGCGAATGAGGCAGGCATCGGAGGAGGGAGAGGTACCCGTACCTCTGCCCTTCCCTCGCTTGTCCCCTTTGTGGGACTCTGGGAGGCCCTCGTCGCCACCGCTGGATTCGCCTGGAAATCCTCGTCAGGACGCACCCCTGGAGAGGTCCGGGGAGTAGCGGTATCGGTATTCTGAGGTCTCCCCCACTGAAACCGAGCGGTAAGGCTGTACGTCGCCCGCAACTCTCACCACGAGACTCGCGATTCGTCGTCATCGTCGTTGTCACTGCCGGCGTCATCGTTGCCATGGTTCGGGTGCTGCTAGAAGTGCCCCTGGCCCAAGGTGCCCCAGCTTTTCGCTCCATTTTGGAGCCCCCAGGGCCCTCTGGGCCTCGTGAGGGGTGCCCTGGAGGCCGTCTAGGTCACCCCGAGAATCCTAGGGGTACCTTGGGTCAGGGGTACCTAGCAACACCCGAATTGTCGTCGTGAAGAGTGCTCGTCGCGTCGCCATCGGCGGCGTCGAGGTCTGCACTCGGCGCGGCCCTCGAGCCCTGCCGGACGGCAGGCCGCACACCTGGTGGGAGGCGGGCCTTGCCCCTCGAATCGGCGGCGCGCCCGGTGGAGGAGTGGGAGAGGGGGCATGCCCTTTCAGAAGGATGCGAAGTGGGGGGAGGAGGGAGGAGGAAGGAGGGAGGAGGTGCAGAAGGAGGCGGAGGAGGAGGAGGAGGAGGAGGAGGAGGAGGAGGAGGAGGAGGAAGGAGGAGGAGGAGAGGAGGAGGAGGGGAGGAGGAGGGAGAGGAGGAGGAGGGAGGAAGGACGAGGCAGGAGGAGGAGGAGGGAGGAGGAGGATGGAGGAGGGAGGGAGGAGGAGGGAACAGGAGGGAGCAGGAGGGAGGGGGAGGAGGAGGGAGGAGGAGGAGGAGAGGAGGAGGAGGAGGGAGGAAGGAGGAGGAGGGAGAGGAGGAGGGAGGAGGAGGAGGGAGGAGGGAGGAGGGCGCAGGAGGAAGAGGAGGAGGAGGCAGGAGGAGGAGGAGGAGGATGAGGGAGGGGAGAATGGAGGAGAGGAGGAGGAGGAGGAAGGAGGAAAGAGGAGGAGAGGGTGACGAAGGAGGGTGAGGAGGAGGATGCGGAGGAGGGAGGAGGAGGAGGAGGAGGAGGAGGAGGGGAGGAGGAGGAGGAGGAGGAGGAAGGAGAGGAGGGAGGAGGAGGAGGAGGGGAGGAGGAGGAGGAGGAGGGGAGGAGGGAGGAGGAGAGGAGGAGGAGGAGGAGGAGCAGGGGAGGAGGGGGGAGGAGGGAGGAGGAGGAGGAGGAGGAGGAGGAGGAGGAGGAGGAGGAGAAGGAGGAGGAGGAGGAGGGAGGGGGGAGGAGAAGGAGGAGGGAGGAGGGAGGAGGGAGGAGGGAGGAGGGAGGAGGGAGGGCAGCAGGGCTTCTCTCAGAAGTCCGCCGGCCTCCCGAGAGGCCGACGCTGTTGCCGGAGGACGTCGCAGGAGGCGGCAGGGCTTCGCAGAAGCCCGCAGGCCTTCTGAGAGGCCGCCGCTGTTGTCGGAGGGCGTTTCAGAGGGCTTCTCAGAGGGCCGGAGGCCCTCTGAGCATCGCGCTTCCAGCACACGTCGTGTCCCGCACGTCTTCGGTGTCGGCTGTATTCGTGAGCGGACGGACGGCTAATTCGAGAAAGCGAGAGCACGACCATGGGGGAGTTAGCTCGTCCATCGTCATCCTCCCCGCTCGTTTCGTTCATGTGCTTGTCTTGCGTCACGCTCTTGGGCCGCTTAGAATTTGGCCATTCGTTCATGAGTGGCTCCTTTTTGGCCCTGCGCTCGGTCGCGATGCGAAGTGGAGGTGGAGAAGGAGGACGAGGAGCCGTCGTATGTTGCGCCATCCTCCTCCCATCTTTCAGGAGGGAAAAACACAGACACAAGTAATCGACGATTCCCCAGAAAATATTGGAACATATGGGAAGTGGGCGGGGAAGACAAAAACCCAGAACATATGGGACAATATTGAACATCTTGTTATTTGCGTGTATTTATTTGTGTGTCCTAGGGCCCCTTCAATCTTCCCAGGCCAACGCATGAGCTCGATGTCTCAGGTTCAGCTGCTGCAGCGTTTCTCGCTCAGCTTTCGCATGCCCACGTCCTGGGCTGGAGTGCTCCTCCTGTCGCTGTGCTCTTGGCAAGAAGCGGCACTCCCCTGCCACCCCTCCTCCCCTCTCTCTCCCTCCCTCCTTGACCGTGAAACCGAGCTGTCACAGGCTATGGCTGCCCTTCAGCAGAAGTGCTTAGCTCTCGCCGCGGACCTCGCCGCTGCCCAAGCTCGTCAAGGTCCTCTACTCCAGCGCCTCCATAGCGCTGGGCGAGCCTTCGCCGAGCTGCTCACCACCTCGCCCGATGGTGTCGTGCCGTCACTCAACATCCAAGCTATGTTGTCATCGTTCCGCGGCGCTCCACCTGGTGCCCCGCGCTGATCTCCTCCTTTCTGCCTGCCCGTGTGTACGTGTGGCTCCGCGTCCACGGTGTCAGGGCGTGGGGGCGGGGGGTGCCCCGTCACTGCGCGCCGCTTAGCGGCCATGCGCCCAACTGGCGGTCCGCCAAGCCGCCTAGCCACGTGCCAGCACGTCGCCTTTCTTGTTGGGGCCTTTTACCTCACGCGGTCTGTCAGGTGAGATCTTCATCGTCTGTCCGCCGTCTGTAGCGTCAGTCGCACTGCGCCGGGGGAGGGGGTTGTGTAGCCCGCCCTCGTATCTTAAGGCTGCACCGCCGCTAATAGTGCTTGCGAGTTGTCGCACCGCAGTGCGCCTCGCGGACGGACCCTGGTCCGCCTACTTGTCCGATCTCCCTCCCTCCTTTCCTCTATGTCTCCCTCTCTCCTCTCCTCTCTCTCTCCCTCCTCTCCTCTCTCTCTCTCTCTCTCTCTCTCCCCTCCTCCCCTCTCTCTCCCCTCTCTCCCATCCCCTCCTCTCTCTCCCTCCTCTCCTCTCTCTCCCCTCTCTTTTTCCCCTGCACCCCCCTCCTCTCCTTCTCTCTCCCTCCTCCCCTCTCCCTCCCTCCCTCCCTTCCGCTTCTCCCTCACCGTCCTCGATGGCGGAGGTCCGAGAAACCCTTTGCGATTCATGTCCGCCCTCGGCCTCGACGAGGGCTCTCTGTGCCGATCGCTGCTGCCCCGGCCTCGGGGCGCGGGGCGGCCCGCCCGCGATGGCCGCGAAGGTGGTTGATCCTACGCAGCAGGAGGAGCGAGAGCTGCCACGGCCACTTCGGGCGATGCTCTGATGTTGTGCGAGTGTGTGTGTGTGTGTGGTTGTGTGCGTGTGTGTGTCTGTGTGTCTGTGTGTGTCTGTGTGTCTGCGTGTATTGTGTGTCTGCGCGTATGCGTGTCTCTGTCTGTGTGTGTCTCTGTGTGTTTGTTTGCCTGCGTGTCTTTGCGTCTGTGTGTGTCTGTGTGTCTGCGTCTCTGTGCCTGTGTGTGTCTGTACGTGTTTGTGCCTGTGTGTGCTTGCTTGTGTGCCTGTGTGTGTGTGTTTGTGCGAGTGCTGCCGCTGAGCTGCGCCGCCGCGCACGGCCGTCACCGCCCTCCGCCGCTTGCCTTTCCGTCGCGTTGCTGCGCACGTGGCCGCGACGCCAGAAAGTGCGTGTGCGTGTGTGCGTGTGTGTGTGAGCTTGTGTGTGCGTGTTTGTGTATACGTCGCACCCTCCGGCCGCCCGAGGCCCCGCCCGCCCGCGCCCTGTCTCCCCAATCAGGGCCACTCGCGCCCCTTCTAGCTCTTGACCGGAAGGGGCCCGCTCCCGACCCGCAGACCAAAAAAGTTTGTGTATACGTGTGCGTGTCTGGGGGAACAGGAAGTGGCACAAGTATCAAAACTCTGAGGTCCGCGCGGATCCGAGAAATCCGCGCGGACCTCCGAGTTTTTATGTTAGTGTAATTTTTTGTTCCCTAGTGTCGGCTAGGCACACGGACTGGCTCAAGCTGTTCTACGCCGCGCCGCCGCGCGCGTGGCCG